GTTATATTAATATTATAATGTATTGTGAAATAAATTCTTACTAGAATAATATCCAAGACTTTTAAGGTCCATCTTAAAATGATCCAGAAAATAAGTTGGCAACCAATTAAGTATGATAAAGTTACCATAAATGAATTACAAAATTGAGTAATGAGTATAGCCCACACTTCACGATGAGAAAACATTAATTTCCATGGAACTTGTTTTAAAGTTGGTAATTTCAAATTATTTGTTAATAATTCATTAATATCACTATTTTCTTCAATAACATAAATTTCTAATGGTGTATTATGATCTGTATCATTATTCTCGCTTTTAACAAAACCACCAGATTCCACTCTATGATAATTTTAACATTATTCTTTTGTTTGCTTGTTAAAATTAAATCTAACCCTTCATAACTTATTCCTGAATATTCATTTGGATTACTTCTGCTACAAATTTGCCATAAAATGGATCAAATCAAACCAGCAGTTCCGAACGTCCAAAAAATACCGGGCCATTCAAGAGGACCTGATCCTAACCAAGTTGATATTGGCAAGGCGATTACAATTCCTATATAAGCAGAGGCTATATAACTAATTAATAATAAAATTTTATTCGCAATACTTCATATAATAAATTATAAATATTGTAATCTACTACACTTCGGGGCAATATACTTACATGTGGTAGCAGAAATCAAGAAATTCACCAATACCCAAAAGTATTTGACATAATAAAAGATATCCTAAACCAACTTTAGCAGAAATTGGAGTAAGAAAAGTAAAGAAAGTCTATGAAGCGGCAGCTAAGCATATTTGTATATAAATCTGTTAATTATTATATATTATTCCGTCATAAAAAGTTATTAAAAAAAATTAACGTCAATATTTCTTGAGCTAATGCAAATCTTGCATACACTAAAATATAGTAATTACTTACAAGCACTTAATACCCATTTTCCACAATATTTATCAGCAAGTGCACCACCTAAAACTTGTGTTGTTATATAACCAAAAAAATAAAGACAGTATAAAACCTTGAACCGTTGATGTAAAATCAAATTCTAATGTCATATAGACTATCGTCAATAGCCATGTTTGATCGATCTTTTTAAAAAAAATTTTAAAACATTTTAATATTTAAACATTAAAACATTAACGGTATCAAAATTAATCTAACAAACTACCTGCATAACTAATGATAGTATCAGTAACGTAAAAGATAATTATAATTAATTTCTTTGGAAAAAATCCCGAAAACCAATTAAAATACTATTCGAAAACTTGTAAAGTTTATGGTTTAAAATTGCATCCTAACGCTAGTGTTACGGTGTAAAAGTGACGATACCAGAAAATAGGGTCGGAACTGCGCCGAAAGCCCAAAGTGGCGATGCTAAGTCTATGACGTGTCGATCCGAACAACATCCAAGAATTCATCTACGTGTAGTCCCGATTTGCATACAAGTCATTTGGACCAAGCCCCCAAGAAATGACACGACAATAATCGTATAATAAAATTATACGATA